TTCGTTAAATTCTTCCAAAGTTTCTTGATTATCCTCAATTTTAGTTTCTAGAATTTTAGTCTTTCTCTGATATTCAGTTTCTAAATCTTCTAAGGATTGTTGAGTATCAGCGGTTTGTTGGTTAATGGAGGCTTTATAATTTAAAAAATCATCCTCTAATTGAGATTTTTCTTTACGTAAATTTTCTAAGTTAGTAGTAGTAAGTTTTATGCGGTCATGAGTTTCCCGAATTTCTTCTTCTCTTTGTAAACGCTCTTCTTCTATTTTTCGTTTATTATCAAGAGTCTTTTGTTCTAACCTTTCTACTCGTTCGTTAAGTTCTTGAATTTGTTCTTGAACTTTTTGGTTAATCTTATTTTGAGCATCGGCTAAACTTTGAATAGCATTTTCCAGTTGCCTTTTTTGTTCCTCCATTTGCTTTTGGAGTTCTTTTTTTTGTTCTACTAAATTCTTTCTGTTCTCTTCGTTTGCTTGGGCGATTTTAGCATCTAGATTTTTGATTTCTTCATCAAATTTAGCACCTTGTTGCTTAATTTGATCTTGCAACTGAGATTTCATGTCGCCCATGGCTCCCCGTAATTCCTTGCTTTGATTTTCAATTTGGGCTTTTGCCCCTGCTAAACCATTTTTTAAATCTCCAATGTCAGAAGATAATCCATCAAAGTCAAAGTTCCCACCAGAAAAGTAATCTTTGGCTATTCCGGTAGCACCGGAAGCTCATTTGAGTCCTTTTTTAGCTAGTTTTTTAATTTGACTTCCTCCCGGAATTAAACTTGCTCCTATATTAAGAGCACCTTCGGCAATGCCTCATAAAGCTTGTTTTCAGTTACCTCACATATTTTTTAGAATTTATATTTTTGTAATTTGTTTGTTAGATTTGCGTTTTTTTTTTTTTTTTTTGTAAAAAATAGAAATTATTGATTTATGAAAAAAGAAGTTCAATTAATAGAATTAAAAGAAAAAGTAAGCGAAGCAAAGAAGAAAAAAGACGAACAAGAAAATTATCTGTTTGGAACTTTTTTTGGTTCTTTGACTTTTATCGGATTTTCGGTTTTCGTTTATATAAAAAAACATGAAATACCCGAAAAATACCACCCAACATGAATTTTGTTTGGCTGTATTAGTTTAGCGGTAATTGCTATTATAATGAGTATATTCGGTTATAATTGACTAAAAAAAGCCAACGAGGAACTTAAAGAACTACAAAAGCAAGAAAAAGAGTTAAAGAATTCACTTTAAAATCTTTTACTAGAAGAATTTAGAAAAGGGAAGAAAAAGAAATAAATACTATATTGAAAGAGTTAGTTTATTTATCCAAAATTAAGGGTGAATAAGACTAGTATTTAATTAAGGTTAAATCTCTTTGAATAATTTTTTGAAAGGCGGGTTTCATGTGTTTTCAATTAACTAGTTCAACTACAAAGGGTAAATCCGAATTTTCTAATTCCTCTTCTATTTCTACTACTTTATAACTAGGAATATTCTCTTGATAACAAAGGTCTAAATCTGAATATTTTCTTGCCGTTCCTTTCACTCGGGAACCATAAGCATAAAAAGAATAAGGGTATTTGTTTAATATTTGTGCCAGTATTTTTTTATCTTGATTACTTATTAGCAACTTAGTCATGGTTATAATTTTTGCAAATTTTTAATTAGCGAGTTAAGATCTTTGAGAAATTTAGGTAAAACGGGATAAACTATTGCCATTATTTCATCTTCGTAAGAATGAACCGTAATATTCCTTTTTTTCACATAATCAAATCAACCTTTCAGATTAGAGATTAATCCTTCACGGGCTGCTAACCGGAAAGTTTCTTTGGGGCTAAACACATCAACTCCCTTTAAACTTAGGACTTTTTGCAATGTTTTTCAGGCTAACTCATAACAAACTTCAAAAGCTTGGATAGTGCCGGCAATTTCTAGTTTACTTTCTGCTTCATGAAGAGCTTCATGAAGAAAATCCCGAGTAGAAATTAATTGCTGAATACTAATCTCACCTAATATTTTTTTATTAGCCATATATAACTCATTTTTATCATTCCTTGATTTCTTTAAGGAGTAACCAAGGTAAAAACTCCATTTTTAATATTTTTTTTGCTTTCTTTTTCGGCTAAAAATAGGGTTAATTTCTTTTTCATCATTTACTTTTGCTCTCTCTCTCTCTCTCTCTCTCTCTCTCTCTCTCTCTCTCTCTCTCTCTCTCTCTCTCTCTCTCTCTCTCTCTCTCTGCTTTGGTTAATTGTTCTTTTACTCAGGGGGAGAGATAAGGAAGGTCAGTTAATTTACTTAATAATTGGAGGTCTCCGTTTAGGGCTTGGTTTACTGCTTCTCATTGTTCTTGTTTGGTTCAGGGTTTACCAGGGAGCATGGAACTACACATTTGTCAACCCTCAGCCAATTCATTCATTTTATCCTCATAGAGTTTAAGTTTACCAGCCTTTAAGTCTTCTTCACTAGTAAGTAAACGAGAAAGGACAATTAATTTACGAGCAATGACTTTATTGCCAAGGTTGTCAAGGGAGACATAGTCAAGGCAGGTAAATCAGTCGGATTTTTTATTGTTTAACTCTTTATCATATATCCCTGCTTTACTACCACAAAACTTATGATACTCAACATCTCCCACTTTGCTAAAATCATAATTTTTTACTCAATTATCTAAATCGGAGGTGTCTATTAATTGGGCTAATTCAGAGATTTCGGGTTTACAATTATTTCTAATTTCGGTTCAAGCCTTTTCAGCCCATTCTTGGGGGTTATTGTTGGGATAGATTATTTTAGTTAGGGGGTTATTTCGAAACTCAAAATTAACCAATTTCAAACATTTACTTACATCTAAACTAGTAAGTTGATTATAACAACAAAATAACCTTTTCAAATTAACAAACTCTCTTAAATCTAAATGTCCTTTTAGTTTCTTTAATCCTAATTGTAATCCAATAATATTTCCCCTCTCCTCTTTCGGATAATTCTCATCTAAAAACTTAATAGTTTCCGGTTCCATTTTTAATTCTACTTCCTCTTTTTTCTCGGTTTCTACTACTACTTCTTTTTCCAATTTAGACTTATTTACTTCCTCTTTTAACCTTTCATTCTCCTTAATTAACTCTTCTTGTTTAGTGGTTAACTCTTTAACCTTCTCTTGCAATTCCTTAATAATTTCCTCTTTTTCCTTCATAAGTAAATTTTTTTCCGATTGGAGAGTAGTTTTAATCTTTTCTAATAGAGAATAAAGACCATTAAAATCAATCCTTTCATAACTTCCCGCCTTAGTATCAAATAAGAGATTAATTTTTCTTAATTGTGCTTGGTGAGTTTGATTTAAGGTCGAGTTTTTGGTTTTTACTTCCTGGATAATCTGCTTTTGCTGAGTTAACTTTTCGGTTCAATCTTTTTTTTCCTGCTCTCAATTACTTTCTAAATTCTTTAATAATTCCTCAGCTTCTTTTTTTCCTTTAATTTTTTGGCGAGCTAAATTAATTAATTGCTTTCCTAAATCTTCGATTTTCTGTTCTAATAATTTTGCATGTTCTTGAACTTGCTGATGTAAAACTTCCGTTTCTGAATCCTTTTTTACTCTCTTTTCATACAGAGTTTGGTAATAATTTAGTTCGGTTCGTAATTTTTGAGTATTAGGACTTTCGATAATCAGGGGTGATTGATTATTTTCTTGATATTGCTGATAATAAAGGTAAATAATTATCACCATTAAAGCCACTATTATTATTTGTTCTTTTTTCATATTATCCACTTATAATTCACAACACCAGCAGTAAACCAATCGCAATTCAAAATAAACCTCGATTAAAAGTGGGTTGCTTATTGTATTGGTAAACTGGATTATATTTTTGAGTTTTTTCTTGAACTTTATTTACTTGTTGCGTAATAAAATTTTCTAACTCCAAAGTTTTGCGTTCAATCGGCTTTTTTATTCAATTTTCATAACGGTTATTCAACCATTCTTTAACGGCTGATTTAATTCCAAGGTCGATGTCTACCATAAATTTAAAATAATTAGGTGTTATTGTTTTTGGTAATTTTTACTTAATAATCAAATAAATAGTAAATAAACTAAAACTAAACTAATCATTGGACCATAATCCGTTCATCAATCAAAAGCAGTTGAACTTTCTCCTAATTCTCGTTTACTTAATTTTCATTCCAGTAATGACTTTTCACCTTGTAAACGAGTTCTTTCTTTTAGGAGAGATTTAACGCTTTGTTCTAAGTTAGTAATCTCATTAGTATCCTCTTTTATTTTTTCCGTTAATTCCTTTTCAACTTCTTTTAAGTTTTCGCGGTAAGTGCCAAATTCTTTAATTTTGCTTAATCTTAATGCTAAAATTTGGTCTTGTAATTCAATAACTTTCTTTTTCAACTCTTTATTTTCACTTTGTAAGGCAGTTAAATCGGGAGGAGAAGGAGGTGGGGGAGGAGTGGGAATATCTCCCAAAGATTTCGAGCGTTTTAATTTCTTTAAATCAGAAGGCTTAATTCCCTCTTTAACGGTTGCTTGAAGTTCTTTTTGCAATTGGTCTTTGGGGTTAGTCATAACATTTTCTAGATTTATCCCCGTTTTGGCGGGGGCTTTGTCAACTAATTTCTTTTGTCATTTTTTCATAAATTACTTAGCCATTTTTGCTTTTTAATTGCTCCACTTCTTGCTTTAATTGGTTAATCTGTTCTTGTTCATGACCGTTTTTCTTTTTAAGTTCCACGGTTAAGCCTTTCATTTTTACATAGTAATTACGAACAATGGCTAAACAGAAAACATTAGCGACAATCGAAGCAAGAGCAATTTCACAACAAGTAATCATCTTAGCGAGGTAAAACCTTTTCTAAATCTTGGGCAAATTTACCAATTACTTTAGCGGCTTTAGCCAGTTCTTTAATCTTTTTCACTCTCTTAGCGTTTAAACTCGGAGCATTACTTTTACAGTCATGGGCTATTTTAGTAATATTCTTACCATGACAATTATCTCCCATGCAGAGATAATATCCGGAAGTATTTTTCACCTTTTGAGTAGGTAAATTTAGTTTTTTGGTTTTTTTTAAGGCTTGTTCAGCCTTTTTTGTTTTGTTAGTTTTCTTTTTTTTAGTCATAAATTTTAATCGTGGGTTAAATTAGTAAAATAAAAGTCATCATAGCCGGAGTAATCTTTACAATCACTAATTATATTCTTAAAAAATAGGTGATAATAATTTAGGGCTACTTCTTCGGCTAAATACATTTTGCTGGGTAATTCTTCTTCATAGTATTTCTGTTCCAGTTCAACTAAGATAGTGCGATAGTCCACATCTTTATGGAGAAATAATCCAGTTAGTTTTTGGTGTTCAGCAGAATAATCATAACCATGAGTAATCAGTTTTAAACCAGGCAAGGGCAAACTTCGAGTTAATAAATTATAAATCTTTTCTTGGGCTAAATAATCAACTTGATCTCACAGTTTTTCTCATTGTTTTTCAGTGAGTTTTTTAACCATGATTACTTGTTCTTGTTAGCAAAAAATTGTTGGTAAAGGATAACTGCGCCAGCACCTAGGGCAGCACCAATTAAATATTCTTTTCAGTTTTCTTTGATTTTGTTTAGCATAATTTTTTTCTTTCTAGATTTTTGGATTAAATTGTTTAAATATTGGGCTTTACAGCGAGAAAAATAAGGGTTAGGGAGTTATATTAATTAGGGAAGTTTCAAAGGAAAGGAATTAACCTGAAATTGTTTAAACTTTAGGCTACAGTTTTAATGCTAAAGGGTAGTAAAACCAAGAAAGTATTAATTAAAACTTCTATGGTTTGTTGGATCATGAATCCAATTCCAACTGCCAATAGACTACAAAAGATGAGACTTTGATCGATTATCATATTAGTTTAGTTAGTTTGGCTAAATATATTTCCTAATTGGCGAAATTGTCCAGTTCCAGTTTTACTTCAATGTCGTAAGTATAAACCAGCAATTAAGCAAATTGAGTATCAAATTATTGTAATGATTGTCATAAGGTTTAGTTGTTTTTAGAGCGAAGGGAATTATTTTTCATCTTTTCAAAAATGGTTGATCACCAATAAAGCAAAAATTCCTAGTGCAATAACAATCAAAATTTTTTGGGTTCGTTGTCAATGCTCTAAGTGTTTAGTAAAAAGTTCTTTATACTCATTACTTTTGCTTTCTAAAACTTCTTTTAATTTTTCATCATAAAAGGAGTTCAAAACTCTTTTAAAGTCCGGTAAATAATCTCTTCAATTCATTTTTATTAGGTTTAAAATTGACTAAAAAGACATTAATGTCTTTCAGTTCATTTTGTTATTAGTTAATTTTCTTGTGTTTAGGAATTATTAACTTGCTCTTGGTGCTGAGATTCTTCCACTAAGTCTTTACACTTTCAATAAGTTTCTCCATTTTTATCGGTGCGTGGAGGAGCCATAAAGAACTGGTTAGCGATTTTTACTAATAGTTTTTCACCTCTCTTTCATACTAAGATAGGAGTTTTAGCGGGGTTAATCACATGACAAGGACAAGTTAAGGAGAGGGGGTTATTGTTCATAGATTTTTAGTCGGTGGTTTCTTTTTGATTACTTGGTGAACCGAAAGAGGAAAATTTGCCTTTTGGATCACTCTTTCAGAGTTTACCAAATACATTTTGGATAATTCCACTTCGTTCAATAAATATTCCAACGGCAAGACCAATGGCAGCTCCAGCTAATTTGCCAGTGGCTCAAGCAGATAATGAATTGTCGTTTAGATTTTCGTTAGTTTTTGTCATATTTTTTTATTCGTTTTTGTTTTTGTTTCCTAAATAGGAAATAACTATGTAAGCAAGCGTAGCATAGACTGAAATTGCTCCAATCACGATAGTGGCATTAGTAAAGGTGTTACTTAAGGTGTATTCATAATCAGCCCGATTAATAAATTCTTTGCTATTTGCTTTTGGTTTTTCTTCAATAATTTTTGCCATAAATTGGTTAGTTTTTTTCTAGTAATTTTTTTAATAGTTCGTTTTGTTCTTTTAACAAGGAATTAGTAAGGGTTAGGGAATTAATAATTTGTTGTTGAGAAACTTTTTGGGAAAGAGAGAAATTCCTAATTTCATTAACTAGGGGTTGTAGATTAATTCCTAAGGGGTTGTATCAGTTCATAGTTTAAATGTTTAGATCTTTCCAATAAGAGATTAGATTACTTTCCTGTTCTTGGAGATTTTTTAGATCTTCTTCACCTTCCTTAGTTAAACAACTCAACTCTTGGGCTTTTTCTAACTTGTTGATCATCGATCTAGTGAGTTTAACCAGTAAAGGAATAACTACTGATTTTAAATCTACTTCAAAAAGTTCTTGTAATTTAGGGAGGAAACATGATAAATCCAAATCTACTCGGTAAACTAAACCACAACTAGGAAGTTCAAGGCGATAATTAAAATTAGGGAGTTTATTCATAATCTTGAGAATTTTGGTTATTAGGGTTATACTCGATTTGTTTCTTTTCGTGAGTTAGTTTCAAACCTTGGAAGCTATTCAGCAAACTTTGATCATTTTTCTTTAACACTATTATCTCTTGTAAGAGCAGATTTTGAGTATTAATCATATTCTGTAAAACCGGAGTTATTTGCTGAATCACCCCTTGATCATTAGGAACAACATTTGCGGTTGGCACAGAAAATTTTTGTCCAGTTATTTTGGAAACAAACATCGGAATTAAAGGAGTTAAAGCGTTAGCTAAAATCGCAGTTAAACTTGGTTCTTGCTCAGGAGAGGAATTATTAAGGGTTTGGGAATTATTTTGGGAATTAGGATTTTGATTATTAAAGGAATTTTCTTGGGATTTATTCATAGGGATTATTTAGATAGGGTAATTAAAAAATTGAGAGCATGAAAGCCTCCGGCCACTAAGCCAAGATTGAGAGAAGAAGTAGTTAACCATTGTAATCATTGCGGTTTGATTAACAAAATTACACAAACTACAATTATTCCAGTTAGCAAGAAATGTTTTCTTTCTCACTGAAATCCTTCTCCGGTTGAGTTAGTATTCAAAAAGGAGTTAATTTTTTCTTTAGTAAACATAATTATTTATCAATTTCTCTTTTGAGTAAACTAGAGGAACGGAAATTAATGCGGTTGTAAAGTAAAGTTTTACCATGATTTTTACCGGGCAAACTATTTCTTACTTTATGTTGAGTTTTCTCAAAGGTTCCTAAATTACCAAATCTTAGGCTTTCACCAGACTTTAGTTTTTTTAAGGAATTAATGAGATCGACCACGGCTAGATCACGAGCATCTTTTTTTTGTTTTGGCGAATAATGGGAAAGGATAAGGTTCATAATTATTCAGTTTTTTGATTGGCTAGTAAATATTTATGGACTGAAGAAGCAACTATACCCACTACCATAAAAATGGCCATATATTTGAAAAATTCTTTCATATTTTTTATTTGTTTTTAGTTATTAATAAATAAAAGTAAAAAAGGAAAATTTTCTATTTATTCTTAAATTGATTGAGAATACTAGGAAATATCAGTAAGGTTTTTAATAGGTTTAGCCTTTTAATAAGAAAAATATGTCAAGAGCATCAGCCAAAATACTTTTCTCTTTCCGGAATAAGTTCAGTAATTTTGGTGAAATATCTTTTAATTATTAAGAATAAATAGGGAAGAGGAAAGGGAATTGAACAAGGAACTAAACCTGAGCAAGTTTGCACATTCTCAGGTTTACCTTACCAAAATAAAGAATAACTTTTCAAAACTTTTTCGTTAGTTCTTAAATTCTTGGTAAGTTCTATATGGTTTATTTTAGTGAGTTAGTTTAATAAAAGTGTCATTTTGATATCTACATGTAGACAGGTCTATTAAATGGATTTTGCCCAACAAATAAGCAAAAATAAATTTTTCAATTTTGATAATTTTAGAAACAAAAAAACTAAAAATTTAGAGATTTTTGATTATTTTTTGAAAGTTAGTTGATTGTTTAGAAAAATTTTACTGGAGAATAGGAATTATTTAATTCTTTTACTCTTTTTATTACCTTTTTGCAATTTATCCAGTTCTTGGATTTCAAGAGTAGTCCATAAATAATTTTCTAATAAAGTGGTAAGTCCATCGTGGAAATCTCCATGTAATTGAAATAGATCTAAACTATAATCACCTAATAAGCAATGGGCTATTTCGTGAGCAAGAGTGTGAATTAAGCGATTTAAACTATATTCACTGTGGTAATTATTATCCAAACTTTCTAGTTTAGCCAGTTGATAGAGAAAACGACTATCTAGATGGATAACTTTCTTGTAGACGGTTAGATTTCCAACTAATTCTTTGCTTAATCGACTTCGCCCATATCAATTATAACTTAACTGAAAACCACCAAATTCAAGATAATAAGAAGTTGTTTTAGTTTCTTTTTCTGCAAAAACTTTTCCTTGATAAAAGTGATAAACTTTGTTAATTAAATGAGCAATAAACTCTTGCATTTACTAAATTTTTTTGCCTTTTTTAGTATGAAAAATATCACTTTCCGTACAAATTACTTCCACGGCATTAGTTTCTTTGTTTTGATTGGCTTTTTTTAATTTTCCAGCTTCCTTGATGGCTTGTTTCCTTATTTCGGCTAATTGCTCCTTTTCACTGAATCGTTTTTTATTACTTTTAGTTACCATAATACTTACTTTTTTTTTGGTCTTTTACCTTCCATTCTAAATTTTCTTTGTCACTGAACAATAAAGAGAATAGGAGCAGTAAAAACCGTTTTAACTTATTTTTGAGGGATTAAATGCATATAAATTATTTTACCTCAATCACAAAATCTACTAATAAATTAGCTCCGTTTTTGCCCTCTTCTATCGTGAAGTTGATTTCTTTACCTTCGACCAATCAATCTCATCTTTCCTCTTTTACTTTTCCATGAAAAACAAAAATACTTTCTCCATTATTTAGTTCTAAGATTAAGTATTGGTTGTTATTTTTGTCTAACAGTTCTTTACGATTAAGGATAGTAGATTTGATATTTCTAGTTAAGTTCATTATTTTTTCTTACCATTTTTACTAATTTCTTTTTTCAACTCTTCACTAAATTTAACTTTGGGAACTCGTTTAGCCGGAATAGTCATTTTTTTTTTAGTTTGTAAGTTCATGGCTACCCGGGCAGCTTGGGTAGTAGTTTTTAAAGAGAAATAACTTGGTAAACGGATTTCTTCACCTTTAATTAGAGATTTTTTTATTTCTGCTAAAAGTTCACTTAAAATAGTTTCAATTTGATTTTTGGTTAAAGATATTCGTTTTTTACTTAGATTAGCGCTAATGCGATCAGTTAAAATTTTTTTACTGACTAATTTAGTTGGGTTATTTTTAGCTTTTTTTGGCATATATAAGTTATTTTGCTTTTGTTTTGCCTATATTTAGTGCTTTTCTGATAAATACCTCTTTCCTTTAAAAAATTTTCTAAGTTCTTTAAATTTTCAAATTTAATAAATCATGGAGAGTTATTTTTACCTACTAATCGGCAAGTATATTTAATTCCAGTTAGATGAATACTCCCCAAACCAACTACTTGCTTTCCTAAACCATGGAGTTCTCCTAATCTTTTTTGCTGTTGGTTAACTAAGATTAGATTAGGAGGTAATTCTTTAATTAAACAGTAAACGTGTAAACCATTAGCCGTCTTAATGTAGCGTGGAACTTGAATTCTTGTTTCGGCTCATAAATCATCCAAGTCTATGACAATAAAGTAATAATTGCCGATTTTCTTTCCCGTTCTAATTCCCCAATTATAACCATTATTCAGTATTTGTTCGATAGTTCAGGGTTCATAAAAGTTAGGTCAATTAAGAATAGTTGGTCTTTTGCCTTGATTAATCTCTAATCTTGGTATCCTAATTCGAAAACTAGGACGATCAAAGATTTTAATTAGTTTTCTTTCAGTAACGGTTAAATTATTTAGGTTCATATAAATTTCTACATGTAGATAACTGCTTTATTTATTCACGCTCTAATAGGCGATAAACAAGAACACGCTTAACTTCTTTAATAAAAAAAAAATGTCCTCCTGGACATACAAAAAAAGATAAAAAATTGAACACGCTGGGGTATTTCGGCCTTACGGCTTGCTAGGCTTTTTACTTCTTTTTTCAAAGAACCCCTTGACCTCTCTGCCTTACCATTTTAAAGTTGGATAGCAGCAGACTTTATCACTAAAAGCATAGTCATAATTGACGAACATGTTTTCATTCGGGTTATTCTGATTTTCCTATACTTTTTATCTCATGTGACAGTTGTCTCTCTCCGAATTGACTGCTGTAATTGTTGTCATTGTTCGAAATGTCCTAATGAGAAAGTTTATCAGAAAAAATTAGCTCGTTTTAGAGTTAAAGAAGGAAAGGTTAGTAAATATGATCAGATGGTTATCAAGGAAGAACTAACCAAGAAATAAAACTATGAAATTTAAATACAATTTTTTAGAAAGAAAATTTTGAAAACTAGACGGAGAATATTCTTACGAAATCGTTGAAGAAAGCCGTGCCCTTAAAGAGGATGTTCTTCTTTTTAAAGTAGGAGAAAATCAAATACTATTTCTTAGTTTTGATGATCAACAAACTAAAATGACTGCTCACTATGCTAAGAAATCTAGAAACGATGCATTAACCCGTTATGAAAAGAAAATAAATCTAGGTAAATTCCAAGTTGAAACTATTTTTGAATTTACGGAACAAGACCTAATTAGCC